TTTTTTTTTTTTTACCATGAGCTGATCTTGATGCGGCACGAGCTCGATCTTGATGTACAGTAGACACCGGCGGGGGAGCATGCTGGTCATGATCGGTGATGCGTTGTGTGAGCTAGGCGACGTGCATTGCATGGGAGGCGTCTGCGCTGGCGCCAACTGCAGCACGCAGGTGCATACAAGGTTGACTGCAGGAACTTGACGATGGCGCCGTGCACAGCGACAGGCTCTGAGATACGTTGGCATCGAACAGATCTTCCGCTCAGTGTGTGAAGTCGTCCCCTCCTCGTGACGCTCATGCTCATCGACATCGTCGCGAGACGCGCTCTCTGACTTCTGAAGTCTGGCCTGCTCTTCTCAATCTCACACCAAGCACTTTTTGCAATCCAACCCTGTCGCCCACCTCAAGCTTTTCTTCTGCGGCAGCGTCCAGCTCAAGATGTTCCGCACTCCCATTGTACAGCGCGTAGCGCTCTCTTCACTGCGATCTCGGGCATTGCCAGGCAGCAATGGCATCGCCAGAGCTGCTGGTCTGGGCGTGACCGCCGCTGTCAAGCCTGTAACTCCAGCCTTCAAGCGATTCGAGTCGAGCGTAATCACTCCTGCGGCTGCAGTTACCTCCTCGGGAGAGTTTGATCCTCATGCCGTCACTGCGATGGATAAGCAAACTCCACCAAAGCCAGGAGATGACTTCAACGTAGTCATAGTAGGAGCGTGAGTCTCGCACAGCAAGGCTCGATGGTTTGCGAATTGCCTTCCCTCCTAAACCTAGCGCACCCTCCCTATCGTAGCGGAAACATCAACTTCGGATCGGACGAGGGACCTTGGAACCACAGTTTCCGTCTTGAACACAAGCTCGGCCCTCGTCTCAAGGTTGTGGCTCTGATCGACCCCTCAGCAGCACGAGCCGACGCCGCACTACAGATCAAGCGCGACTCGTTCGTACTGAGTGCATACAAGGACACGATCGTGTACCCCACGATGAAGGACTTTATTGACAAGCACAAGCCAGAGCACGCCCCTCGGTGAGTATTAGGGCTATGATGTGGGCTCAGTCTCTGTAAAGTGCTGATGAGTCCTCTCCAATAGCGCCATTTGGGTCGGCTCACCACCCGCTTTCCGTGGACGCGAGGAGCATGGACGCGACGTCGAGAAGCAGATCATCGACGCATTCCCCAACGTAGGAATCTTCATCGAGAAGCCTGTCTCGACTGGACCAGTGGACCAAGCGCTCAATGTTGCCAAGCGCTTGGTAGACGCTGGCAATATTGTCAGTGTCGGTTACATGCTTCGATACCTCAAGGTAGTGCAAAAGATGAAGGCGATTATCGAGGAGAATAACCTCAAGGTGATGGCCACCAACGCGCGCTACGTCATGGCCTACGAGCATACTGCCAATTTCCACTGGTGGGACAAGGCTCAGTCGTGCGGTCCCATTGTGGAACAAGCGACGCACTTCTGTGATCTTTCGCGATACTTTGGAGGAGAGGTGGATCTGAGCACCGTCATGGCGCATTCGCTGGAGCACTTTGAGCCCGCTGGCCAGCTTGCCAAGGTCCCAATCGCCGAGGACAAAATTGCGCCCGACCAGCGCATTCCTCGTATTACATGTGCTTCTTGGAAGTACGAATCTGGCGCTGTCGGCTCTTTGACTCACGCCGTCGCCTTGCACGGTTTTAACTACGCGACAGGTGAGCGTGCCGCCCCAGCACGAGTGATCGAGTATACTTTGGCTGACATGCCCCCCAATGCTCTCAGAGTTGGACGTCATCTGTGACGGATACAGCTTGAGACTCGTGGACCCATACAACGCCCCTGTCTTGTACCTGCGCCGACCTGGAGATGATCACGAAGAGGTCATCAGGTACCAGAATGATGACCCATTCTTTTCCGAGGTCGCAAACTTGATCGACAACATCGAAAAGGGCCCAGGCTCTGCGCCTATCCTCTCTTCCTACGAAGATGCCGCCATGACGTATGGTGAGTGCGGCTGATCGCCACGACACAAAGAGACTCGACGAATTGACTGAGTCTCCCTACCTCCAGCGCTCACTTGGGCCATCCGTGAGGCTTCTGAGCGAAAGTGAGTTCCGCCGCGCAACTCCCTCTTGACCTGAAGTATTCTTTCGAAGCTCACATGTGAAGCACCTCCTCACAGCATCAAGAAGCCCGCTGCATAAGAAGATACAAACAAATCCCTAGAGCCCGTGAGGCGGCGTTGTGGATTCAGACGACCACAGCCTCGATGTGGACCGAACACGGTCGAATGCATGCACGGTAACCACCCACATCGCAATCATCAACGCTCAGCAGCGGCGATGAGGTCTGGGTTTTGAGGTGATGTGATTGAAAAGGTGGAGATCATGGAAAGTATGTGATACACCGAGTCGGACGAGAGACGAGTCCGTACACTTCAGGCAAGCCGTATCTGGCCCTCTTGCCTTTTCTGATACGAAGCGCGTGCAAAAGTGCCGAAAAGGTACACGGTCCTGATGAGGATGATTGCCGTCAGGAAGAGGAGCAGATTGAGCGCTGGTGGCATCGAGGCTGCGCGCAGGCCCGTAGTGTTGTACAGTGAGTAGGCCCAGGCATTGCGAATCGGTCGAGGCAGGAGACGGAAGCTTGCTGGTGTGCCAATGTACGTGCCAAACACCTTTTGTTGGCACGCCACATCGATCTGCATGTGTTGCCTGAGAAAGGGAAGAGGCGGGCAGTGTGAGTGCATCTGGGGCAAGATTGAAGCTGCGCGCGTCCCAGCGGAGCGCTAGCCACGCACCCTTTGCAGACGTCGAGGACCAGAGCTCCTCGCTTGTCCAGCGTCTTGAGACCCAGACGGTCCTGCGTATACAGCGCAGTCTGCTTGAGCGGGATAGGCTGAGCCTTTGGCTCGTCTGCCGTTTCCGATTCGCTCTGGTTGTACAGGGGATAGGTACCGAACCAGCTGCTCTCCTTTGGCACAATCGTCTTATCCTGACTGAATTGAAGCAAGACCAAGGATTCCAGATTGATGATCTGCTTCTTGTAGTCCTTGTTGATGGAGACCTCGTTGTTGATGTCTCGAAGGAAACGGTTGTGCTCCAAGTAGGCTGGATAACCCGTCTCGCTCCGAGGATCACGGTAGAATTGAGCGCTCACTACATTCGTTTGAGCGTAGTCGGTGTACACTCCACCGCGAAGAGCACCCTCAGCAAGGCGACAGAGCAAGCCGGTGCAAGCTGGAAGGTCGCTAATGCCCTGTGTGGTGTGTGATAGTCACGCACGAGGCGATACGGAAGTTTTCAGCTCCATGGCCAGCCAGATAGGTGCACGCGCATGGAAGTTGGGCGCTACGATCGCTGGACATTTCCCTGCCTCTAACCACAACACTTCTATCGAGACTCACATTTTGAGGACTGCCAAAAGTGACCAGATTTCTCACCGGAGGAGCGTTCTGGCACCGCTCCACGTATGCTCTCATAAATAGACCGCCTTGACTGAATCCGATCGCGTCGAATCCATCCTTCAATTCGGGAACATCTTCGATCTGCTTGCAGATCAGTGGCAGCTGTTTGCTCAAATCGCCAAAGAAGCCGGCCTTTTGGTCAGAAGAGACATCGTCGCCTACGTGTGCTAGGTGGACAAAAATGCCTGGAAAAGCGTCTTTGAGGGACTGAGCAAAAGATTGCATGCCTTCGGAGTAGGCAGAGTCTCCTAGACCATGCCAGATGACCACAGGGTGGTAGGATGGGCCGAATAGTGGCGAAGCTGAGGTCGTTCGAGACCAGCTCAGCACGCTGGCGAGGACGAGCCAAAGGCTGGCGAATCGTTGAACAGTGACCATGGTGATGGTAGGGTGAGTGCGAGCGTAGTTGGAGCTGTGCAGGCAGGAGCTGGCGATGATGGTGAATGAGACTGCGCGGGTAAAGCTGGGACCACCGCCCATGCAATCGCAATATAATCACCAATCACCGATGGAGGAGGCAAGTGAAGCATGCATGCATGTATGTACGGGCACGGGCACGGGCACGGGCACGGGTACCAGCACCCTCACGACACGGTGCAGCTGCTGCCGCTATTGTGGCTTGCGCAGTCGTGAGTCACGAGTGTTAGTGCAGCAGCAGGCACTTGTACTTTTCATCTGCAATGCGATGCGATGCGATGCGATGCGCTAAGCGTGCATGTGTGCCGCGCACACGCGGAGATGGCAGTTGTGATGTTTGTTTGAGCAGGAAGGTACCGCCGTGGCCGCGGGGTGGAGATGGGTGCGCGGGTGCGCGGGTGCAGCAGCAGAAAGGGAATGTCATGTGTTGGCGGCGGGCGGCGGGCGGCGGGCGGCGGATGGCAGATCTGGAAATACAAAAACATTTGTCCGAACGGCCTGGGAAACAGTCGAGTGAAAGTGCCAGTCTCTTTCTCTTTCTCTTTCTCTACCCTCTCCTCACCCTAACAACCCCTGCTTCGTCCTTCGCCTCCAGGTCCACCAATACAAGGTGTCTGCATAGTCACACCAAGCCTTCCACTATCACCCTGCCACGCCGCAGCAGATGAGTCATGGTGCTCGAAGGACCGGACCTGCCCGTCCACGTCCTCGACAGCCCAGATATGCATCCACCTACAAGGGCGGGGATCATCCAGATGGCAAGCAACAACTCGGCGATAGATCCCACAGGCAGGCTTCCAGCGGCGGTGGCACCCAAGGTGACTCTCGAGAACGTCGTGGTCAAGCAAGCTCTGCCGAGGAAGAGCGAGCGGAACAGCGCCAGGATGAGGAGGGGCAGGACGAAGTCGAAGACGACGACGACGACGGCGACGATGGCATTGCTTTTGGCTTGACGGACGCCTGGCGAGGCTTGACGAGCGGTCATGCTACGGCTTATCATATGGCCGTACTAGCTCTCTTGAGCGCCTTGGGCCAGGGTCTGGTACTTCCCAGCGTGTACAGCCTCTACACGTTCCTCATGTGTCGTGTACACGCTGCGCGCACAGGACAGCAAGCGCCCGACCACCAAGCAGCAAATGAATTGCTTTCAGGTCTCTGGAATGTCTCATCAGCCACGCCAGCGAGCCCAGAGCTGCGCCTGCTTGAGAAGACAAGATCTTGGTTGCCGCCCACCCCTCATCTGCCCACTTCGTCCGCCTGCTCCGATCCATGGGTGCCCCAAGCCACGTCTGCCTTCTCAGCGAGTATGGCCACGACGGGCGCAATACTGTCGCTGATTCTACTGGGAAAAGCTACTTTTCTATCCCGCCGCTTTGGACGAAAGCCGATTTTGCTCTTTTCCAATCTGGTCATCGTCTTTGGTTATGCGACCTTTCCTCTGTCGCCCAGACTGACAGCTTACTTAGCGCCCGCACTCGTCGCGCTTGGGATCGTTGCCGCCGAAGGCAGCGCCGGCGCTCCGCAAAGGATGGCAGTGCAAAATTACGTGGTGGACTGCACAGGCGAAGCGGCGAGAGCAAGCGCGCTGAGCTTCATCGAAGGTTTTGGTCAATTGGGCGCCTTTCCAGCCGCAACGTTGGGTGGATGGCTCGCTGCTGCGACGGGTCAATTCTTTGCGCCATTCTACGGCGGTATCGCCATGTTCTCCACTGCAGTGCTCTATGTGCTGCTGTTCGTACCCGAAAGCAAGAGAAAGCATGTTCACACGTTCATCGATGATTGGGAGCATCGCGTGAGCGACTCGGACGAGAGTGCAGCTGGAGCTTACTCAGCCGAGAGGGAAAGACATGAGGAACAAGACCAAAGGAACACGTCTAACATCTCGGCGGCTCGTCAGCAACAGGGTGGCAATGAGCAGCGCAACTGGAGAGATAGCAGACGAACATCCACATTCAGTTTTCTCACCACCTCATCTACGGCAGGAGCCGCGCAGCGTCTCGCGTCGAGTCTCAACATCATCAATCCTCTCGGCATCTTTATTCCTCGGCGCAGACCCGACAAGACGTGGGATTTGCGCCTGCTCAACCTCGGCCTCATTACAGTATTCGACGAAGCCTTTCAAATCTTCATCGTGCCGCTCTTGCTGCTCTACAACTCGGACAGCTTTGGGTTTGACGTTGTGCAGAATGGCTATCTGGTCACCCTCATCCAGGGCACACGCGCCATCTACCTCACGCTTATTTTTCCTCGCTCGATCGCGTGGGCTCGCAAACGTGTGGCACGGCGAGCCAAGAGCAAGCGTGAAGCCCACGCTCGAGCTGCATCCGGCGAGACTACGCCCTTGTTGCGGCAAGACGATGAGGAAGAGGAAAGGGAAAGCTATGGCAAGCTGGACTTTGTGATCCTCTTGACATCCTATCTGGTAGCAGCGACAGCATTCACCCTCATCGCCCTCGCCAGGCGCTTTTCTCGTACCCACGCCGACTCTACGACTTTGCTTTCGAGCGCAACACTCCCATCTGACATTCCGCCATGGAGGCTATTGGTCCCAGGCGTGATCATGCTGGAACTGGCTTCGGGGACGGTTTCCGTTCGGACAGCTCTGGTGGTCAATACCCTCCCATCTTCGGAGCAGACCAGAGCTATCCAAGCCAACCAGATTCTGAGCACCATCGTCCTCACCCTAGTACCCTTGACAGCCTCGGCAGTGTACAGCTTCGGTCTCGAGAAGGGTCACCCAGAGGCGGTCTGGCTTGCCAAAGCGGGCTGCGCTTTGGGAGCTGCGCTAGGCAGCTTGGCTTTGTTCTGGACTCATCGCCATAGAAACGGAGAGGAAGAGCAGGGAGATGCAGCACGTTCGCGTCATTGATACCTCGAGCAATGTGAAGGGCTTGGCACGCGTTGTGATTGCAGTGCGAGGGCGTCTATTTGTCTTGCGCGTGAGTTCCTGGATGTCTAGCGTCAACGACAGTGGTGTCATAATCTAGCCTCGAAACTGGGTCGATGTGCGTACCACGCATCGAGCACTGTAGCGAGATGTTCGCCTGAAAGCAGGGGCGCGAAAGCGCGAATGAGCTCTTGTGCATGAAGAACGCGTAGCCAGACGTCTGGCTCACCCAGCTTGTCCGGCTGCTCTTGCACCACGAGGTGATTTCCGGGCATGATGTGGCTAGTACCGCCCCAATCCTTGATATCCTTTACAAACGTAATGTCCGCAAAGCCGTCGGTGATCAGGTCCGAATTGGCCATGAGGACGGCGTGAAATTTGCAAGTGTGCCGCTTGATGAGACCGGAAGCGTAGGACAAGGTGGATTGCCAACTTTGACCAAACACTGCCGCTTCCCTGGCTCGATGCATGGCTAGCCGCACGGCACCTTGCGGCGCGGAGATGGGATCTAGAGGTACTAGACCATGTTCTACCATTGCTTGAAGCGTTCGAGGATCCCACTTGCTGAAGAAAGGTCTGGACTGGAAATATCGCATCGCTTCTTGCCTACGATGATCGTCATCAGGGGAAAAGCGAAGGTGGGAGGTTGGGAGGGTCAATGGACCAGATTCCCTGCAGGACAAGACTTTTGCCTCACCTGTCCGAAAAGACGTCGCGTCTTGCCACTGCTCCCTGACCTCGAGCGTTGAACTCGGGCTTGGGTCGCTTGCTGAGCACTTCGGGTCGCAAGAGAACGGGATCGATAAAGATGATTCCGTCCAGCGCTGTGGGAACGGCTGAGGCCAAGCGAAGAACTGCGGAGCCGCCTGCACTCGAAGAGTCGGAGCAGGTGGAGCAGACAGGAAGAGGATGCATCCAGCGCAAGCATTCATACTTCAGTCAGCAGTCTTGAGACGGGCCATCGAGATCGACTGTCTCCACGTACGCATGTGACTCACTGTAGCTATGTCCGATGCCCACTATGGGTCTCGTGCCTGCATAACCTCCCTTCTCTTTCCTTCTCAGCACCTCCGAAGCATCTTGTCCGGGTTCTGGCAAGTGATGAATGAGATTCAGGAGATCTCTCGCTTGATCACACCAAGACGCTGTCCGCGTCGTGAAGAGTTACTACAAGCGAGTCAACGACACCAGTTCATCCAAAGGGGTCCGCAGAGCTCCACTGCTCACCTGAAGGGCCCAGCTTACCCTCATTCACCACACCGGAAAAGCCAGAGTCGATGGTATCGAGCGACCAGATCTCAGCTATGGGCGTGCTGGAGTGGTGTATCAAGGCTTCCAAGCACGGCTCAAAGGTCTGAAAGTGCCAGCAGCCAGTCGTCCCGTAAGCGCATTGCTCTGTGCGACTTTGACAACTTGCGATGCATGGGCTGTGCTCTGTGCGCCCCCCGCTCACCTCCTTGTGCATGCCGTTGGCATGAGCAGCAATAAGGATCAGCCCATTCTCTGGCACCTCGCAATCTCTCCTGCACCATCTCTGCACCACATTCCAAAGAGGTGTCGACCGTTGTTCCTGGGCCAACCTCTGTGCTGTCTCATTGGCCTCCCGCTCCGACCTGGCAGGAAAGTAATCCTCTGCAGAAAATCCTTTCCAGTGATCTCTCCAACGCCCAAACTCGTCCTTGCGCAACTGTCGCTCGTGGTCCTTGGATGTGGGAAGGGTGGGACGTGCCAAGGCTGGAGCTACGCAAAGCGTGTGGGCGCGAGGAAATGCGGCGGGCAGAAAGTGCGTGGTGCGCGTCCACTCTTTGTACGTCGTGGTGATGGGCAGTGTTGGGATGAAGGGAGATGCGTTGGCATCGCCTTGCAAGGGCGAATTGAGCAGCGGGAGGAGCAGGTAAGGAGGAATGGGCACCTCGACGCCCAACGTCTGGCTAGCATCGAGCGGCATCTTGACAGGGCACGACACGTCACGTGTGCGCACGAAGAGGTGGTCCAGATGTTAATCCAGATTCCGACTCTTCTTCATTCAGGGTGCTTGATGGTGGGCTTTTGGGCCTGCACGAAGCAAAGAGATGATGCTTAGCGCCCTTTCAAAGATCGGCTTTGGGTCTGCTCTGCCTTCGAGCAAAGTCTGCGGACGAGATGGGGTGTTGGTCGAGGTGGGGTATTGGTCGAGGTGGTGGTAGTGCGTGAATGGGACCACCATTTGAATGAATTCACATTCATGATTCGCAAAATTCACCGCATCTTCCGGCCCGACGCACGCACGCAAAGCCGTGCGATGGCATGCAGTTGCATCTCATTCAAGATTCACGAATCACGAATCACGATTCAATTGTGAAATTGGACATTCACATTCACGATTGAATGATTCATTCATTCGCGATTCGCGATTCACGATTGCAGGCGGATATCGGCGGTGGAGGTTTGTTGGCGCGAATCTTCTCGACGTTCACTTGTGGCGGCGCCCCTTGATCCGACTTGGACTTTCCACCCACCTCACCCACGACTGCTGCTGCTGGGAATGATCAACATTTGTGATTTTGAGTCGCAGCAGTCGGTAGAGTCACGGGTCACAGTCGAGTTGCTTGTGCGCGCAATCTCATGTGCGCAGTGGGCTGGCCCCCGCATCGAGAGTCACGAGTTACGAGTGTAGTCACAAAGTATTGGTGACAGATAGATGCACGCTACTGTACCGTACCGGTATGCTGACAGCTTGATTGTGATTGCGCGCTTGGCCGAGGAGAGCGAGTCGCAGAAAGTCGATCGTGACATGCTGTAGGTACCGTACAATAGATTCAGCTAGCTGCCAGACAGCTTCAGCCATCGACGCACGATCGATCGATCAAGCCGAGGAACAGACATGTGTCCACCTGCTGTCACCTGTCACCTGTCACGATGCAAGAGGCATGGCACACAATGACGCGAAGGGATCGGCGATTCGGTGGGGCGTGCTCGCGGTAATTGTGTATGCACTCCGTCCTGACTCTGACTCTGACTCTGACTCTGACTCTGACTCTGACTGTGCTGGTTTGACTCAGACTGGAGGAGGATCGACCGGCCGACTTGTCGCAGCCGTGCGGTTGAAAGTTTGCCCGAAAATACCGCACCGTATAGAGCTACAGGAGGTTGGTTCACCCGCGCCACTGCTCTCGTGCCCATGTTCGGCCTTTTTGCATAGAGGATCAGCGGTCGGTTCGAGTCATTGCATGTGGATCGGATCACAATCAACGAAGGTCTCGTACTCCATCTCTCAAAATTGCACCGTATGCTTCACCTTACTTCCCACATTCCACTGAATCGCGTGCTTCATGCTGATGCTCTCGAGATAAACAAGGGCAGCGCTTCCCTTTGCGACATTGTCGGATAAACAAGGAGCAGACCATGTCCGGCTCGAGATGTGAAGCTGCGAGTCAAGACGGTCCAGGCAGTCCCAGCAGCAACGTCGCTTTTGCCCCGCACCATCCTCCGGCATTCTACGCGCCAGCCCAGCTGAGCATTAGCGACTCTTCCCCTTCAAATCCTCGCAAGCACGCACATCGATCGAATTCTTCCTCAATCGACAGCACATCTACTCGACGCGATGCTGCTCAGGCCGCTTCAAGCCAGTCAGGGTTCCAAGCTGGAAATGTGGATGGGAAGGATACGAGCAAAATCGAGATTGCCAGTGGCAATGAGGAGGAGGAGGAGGGAGAAGCGGAGCAGCACAAAGGTCTTGCGGCTGCTCCAAGCGCAGCTTTGACACAGACACGAAGCGAACCAGCTGCGATCTACGTGGAGTGGGCAGATGGAGATCCCGAAAATCCCTACAATTGGTCTTTCCGTGAGCTCTCTCTACATTCTGTCACAAACCCGCAGGCGAAGGGCACCATCTTCTCATTGCCTGCCTCTCGTTTCTAGTAGCAACTTGCTGACCCTTACGCCTGGCACCTTTTCGCGGGACGCGATCTTGCTCAGGTCGAAGAGTGATGATCATCTGCATCTGCATAGGTTTCAGCGCCATTACAGCCGTCAACGCCACAGCGTACGGCACGACCCAATCAGGCGCCCTCGTCGACCTCAACACGACGACGGAGGTGTACTTGCTGGGTAATACGGCATACCTTTCCATAGGGATCGCCTTTACGCCTTTGCTGCTCGCACCGCTCTCGGAGATATATGGTCGCACACCGATCTACATGGTCGCCGTCTTTCTCAATGCGTGAGCAAACGGAGAGAGCTGGTGTCCATCTGTCAATAGACCCACTGACTCGCTTTTCTCCTCCTCCCCCCCGGCCTTTCGCTCGTGCCGCACCCTCATCAGGGTGATGTTCATCCCCCAAGCTCTCGCTCCGAACGTGTACGCTATCATTTTCAGCCGATTTGTGCAGGGCATGGCAGCCAGTGTGGGCAATAGCATGGGTGAGTTTCGCCTGAGCACGCTGCGCTCCGCTAATAGAGCTGGCAACATCTGCTGACACGCGTCGCGGGCGCCGGCTTACCATAATAGTCGGAGGAAGTGTTTCAGACGTCTTTCCAGCTTCAAGCCGTGGTATACCCATGGCCATCTTTGCCCTGGGTATTTTTGTGAGTGGTGTGCAGCTTCGACGTCGCAAGCTTGCGCAGCATGCTCACAACAAAAGCGGCTTTGGGCCTTGCGCAGGTTGGGCAAGGCATAGGCCCAGTGGCGGGAGCGTACACATCGGAGCACGTGGGATGGCGAATCACATTCTGGTGGCTTTGCGCCATGGCATTCTTCTCCTTTGCACTCTATGCCATTGGTCTCCGAGAAACAAGAGGTCCAGTACTGCTCAGTCGCAAGGCCAAAAGGCTTACGAGGGAGACGGGCAAATTGCACAGGTGCAGAGCGGATGACGAGAGGTCCAGCTTTTGGACGGCTGTAAAGATTAGCCTGTGTAGACCTGCCGTCTGGCTCGTCACCGAGCCCATTGTCTTGTTCTTCAGCACGTGGATAGGTGCGTCGGCAGTGTCGGATGAAGCCGTGGCGACCGAATTCCTGACTCTCGCATCTCTCTTCACCCTAGGCTTCTTGTGGGGTACTCTCTTTCTATTGCTCCAAGGTACTCCCACCGTCTTCGAAGCGTACGGCTGGTCTGAAGCAGCTCGATCTTCCGTCCTTTCGGTGCTGGGACTGGGGGGCATCGTAGGTTTCTTTGCACATATGCATCAGGAAAAGCTTTACAATCGAGAAGCTGCCAAAGCTGCGCCCGACAAACCTAGACCCGAAGCCAGGCTCTATTGGAGCTGCGTCGGAGCCGTGCTTGCTCCTGCTGCTATGTTTGGGTTCGCTTGGACGGGTGTGAGTGGGCTTGGATTGTTGAGTGTGCTGCCATGGTGCTGATGGCTGAGAAGCTCATCTGCTCTGCATCTTCAGCAAGCTTCGGTCCACCCGGCAGTACCCATCGTGATGCTCGGCATCTTTGCCTCGGCCATTTTCCCCATCTACTTGGCAGGTGCGCGTTGTCGAGCGAGCACGTCTTCAACGATGCATGAAAATCCAGCTGATTGCCCCGTTCCACCTTTCGCCCAACGTCGCAGTGTTCTTGTACTTTGCCGACGTCTTTGAAGCTTACGCATCTTCTGGCCTCGCAGGTGAGCGACCTTTCCCCCCTCCGAGAAGTTCGTGCCTTGGCGCTAGCTTTCCACTAACATCTGCCCGCAATTTCTCGCAGCCCAATCTTGGTTGCGAAACGTCTTTGCTGGTAGTTTTCCGCTCTTTGCTCCAGCCATGTACGGCAATCTGAGGCCGCCCGTCGCCTCGTCGATTTTGGGCGCCATTGCAGCGATTCTGGGTCTGTGTCCCTTTTTCCTCCTCTTCTTTGGAGAGAGGGTGAGAGGCATGTCCAAAGTTGCGCGACAGATTGCGAAAGAAGAAGAGGACAGGCAAGAGAGCATGGAGCAGCAGAGGGAAAAGATGAGGAGATGGCAGGAGAGACAAAAGGAAAAAGAAAGGAGAAAAATGCAGAAGGAGACATCCGCTGGTCAGAGGCCGATTGTGCAAGACGCGACTCCTCACACTGTCTCCGAGACCAGCACGGCTCATGATGTTGAGCGCGATGCCGAAGTCAAGCCTTCGTCTTGTCCTCACAAGGAAGTGCAACACTCTTCGAAGGCTTGACAAGTCTGAATGTCACATGCTCTCCTGTTCGGAAGACATTCACGCACCTCTTTGCTCTCGATTATATCGTCATTATATCGTCATCGTAGCCCGAGTGCGTGGGGGCACCAGCACGTCTGACGTGAGCATTCCGAGAAACAATGGCGTAGTCCGCGATTGTGACGTCAGAAACGCGGCTTGAGGCGCAAGATGTGCACTGCCGCGACGGATCGTGATGGAGAAGAAGCGTGAAGCTTGCTCAAGATGGCCCTTCTCGGTTGCACCTTGACCGTGACGCGCCCACGACCGTGCTTGATGGGATGGTGCAGTCTTGAGTGCGAGTCGTGGGTATGTACTGCACTGTGCATAGCCACGTGCCCTAGTAACTCGCATTCGCTGCTTGGCTGCACCCGCCTGCGCGCCCTAGGCTGTGCGTGGTCCGCGAAGACGAGACATTCTGATTGAAGAGCGCTTTGAAATCTTGATTGGTTTCATCTGCATAGCTCTGCATCATGGGCTATATGCTCACGTACAGTACCGCGGCAGCTGATGCGCTCACCTTTCCACAGTGCCCCTTGCTGCGACGTGGTGTGGCGCACGCGCCTTGCACCGGCGCAGCCATGCAGCTATATATACAGTATATGCAGGTAAGACTGAGAAGTCTGAGGCGTGCACGCGTACGTGCTGTGGTGTGCTGTGGTGTGCTGTGGTGTGCTGTGGTGTGCTGCCGCCTGCCCTTCCCAGTTGCGCCGGCAGCAGCAGCAGCAGCAGCAGCAGGTCAAGAGTTTGAGTGATGGGTGCACGCAAGGCCTGGATTTTTTTTTTTTCTCGATTGGCATCATTAGTGCACGCAAGAAGAAAGCGCACTGTCTGCGTTGCCATCGGCTAGCGGGTGTGCTTTCTCTGGCGGCGCGGGCAAATCTTGCAAAGGCTTGCTTGCAACGATGGCATCCAGTTTCTTTGCACCAACGCAATCATCGCTTATTTTGTCCATCAACCCTCACCTCTACATCCCTTCTCATCGCACATTCTCACATCGCCTCAGACTCTACAGCACATCATGAAGGTGGGTCAGGATGCGAGCATTTGATTGCCAAACCATGAGGTCACAAGAGTCTTCCCGTGCTGAATGCTAAGAGCCTGCTCCTTCATTTTGCAGCTTTACACCGATGCCATCTCCGGCGACGAGCTCGTCTCTGATGGATACAAGATCAGCGAGGTGGATGACGTAGTGTACGAAGTGGATGCTGCTCAGATCGTCGTCAAGGAGGGCGATGTCGACATTGGTGGAAACCCTTCTGCAGAGGAGCAGGCGGAGGCACTCGAGAGCGGTGCTCAGACTGTCATCAACGTCGTTCACACTTTCCGTCTGCAGAACACCACCTTCGACAAGAAGTCCTACCTCGCACACCTCAAGGTGAGTGTACCCCCTCCACCACCCTCCTGCCGCGGTGTTGTCTCGTCTGGAATTGTACAGGCCGCGCCCATGCGCCGCTAGACATGGGTGGTGCTGTTGGCAAACCTCGAGCACGATGATCAGTCGGCTCGCACTCGTACCCGAGAGTTGCCGAGAGGCGACGGCAAGGGCATGCCAAGCTACAAAATTTCAGCCCCGACATGGTCCAGAGGACACTTGCCACTCTCGCAACCCCAAAGGGCACCACCAATCACAGCGCTCGCGCAACCGAGGTGCTGCATTTTGCTGACCACTGCCATTCCTGTCGTCCCGCGGCATTTGCAGGGCTATATGAAAGCCGTCAAGACTAGATTGGCAGCGGAGAACCCTGATCGCGTGGACGCGTTCGAAAAGGCTGCCGGTGCTTTTGCAAAGAAGGTAGTCGGCAACTTCAAGGGTAAGTGTTCAGGGGGGGGACTGCGGAAGGTGGCAAGGAAAGGAAAGCAGTTCGGCAGCCCGTCTCAGACGCGTAGGGGCGAGCAGCCTTGCAAGTGGGAAGCTGGGAGCGCGATCAGCTTGGGCGCTCATGGGGCTGTAGATGCTGACACGAGCTCGGATCTTTTCACGCCGTCAGACTACGACTTTTACACTGGCGAGAGCATGAACCCCGATGCGTGAGTAGCATACAGCCACACCTCTACACACCAGAATGCGCAGAGGCTGATTATGCCGGCTTCTGGCCGACAGTATGGTCGTCCTTTGCAACTATCGCGAGGACGGTGTCACCCCCTACTTCATCCTCTGGAAGGACGGACTCAAGGGTGAGTCATGCACATTGTCTGCAGGGCGTGGATCAAAATCGCTGACGATTTCACTCCCTTCGCTTCTTTACAGAGACCAAGATCTAGACGACTTCAGGCTGTGCAGCGACACGCACTCCCGCTGCTGCAATCTTTGTCACTTTCTTCTGGTTTCCGCTTTCACGTCGCATATCAGCACAAGCTCGTCCGTCTTGACGCTTTTCTTGGCCTCCTCAAAATGCAAGATTTTGCTACTAGTGCTCTCCGATGACCTTTTTATGAGCAGCTTCTTCATGAAGAACGATGAGAAGCGGCTTGCGCTTTCAGTGTTGGTGGTGTCAATCGCGAAGCAGTGTACATTTGTTCAGGATCTTTTTGAGAGCCTGTCGATGGAAGGAGCAGGCAGGGGATCGAGAGGCAAGTGGCAATTGCGAAAGACTCGAGACGGTCAGCGAGATGTAGTCGTCCTTGCTGCTGCAGGAGGCTGCTCACCGCGGGCTTGCGATTGGGAGCGATGGCCAGGACTGTGGGAATGTTTTCAGGCTGCTCGATCCACAAGTGATGCAGCGGAAAATGCTCGGTGTCTTGTTGGCCTGCGGTGGAAGCAGCATTAGCGGCGGCTTGCCTGGCTTCATCCAGCTTGCTGCTCAGTTCTCGGATGGTCTGCTTGGGCGAGGTTACTAGGACGATTTTGTGCATGGATTCCAGGGCGCCCGTCGTACTGGAGATGTAAGCCTGGGTGGGGGATTGATCGAGCGATCTTGAGATGACCTGTATTCGAGGAGCATCGTGAGAGGACCGATGGTGAAGCGCAAGAAGGAGGATGAGGAGAGTGAGGAGAGCTTTGAACGTGTACTGTGAGAAGCGACGCGGGCGGGCAAATGGGAACAGGCGCTGGCTGTGCTTGCCGAAGCGACGAATGTGGGCATCGTCCATCCAACGAGCAAGCAAAACCCTCGACGCATGACGGGATCTCCGCTCGCTAGCTGCTGCTGCTACTGAGCCGAACTCACCGCGACTGCTGCGTGGGCAGCTTGTGACATGAGTGGGCCTCTGGGCCAACCTCCATCTTGGACAGGCTGCCCCAAAAGAAAGGGAGAGATGTTGGCAATGCACAATGGCAGGTCAGTCTATAGAGCTCATGCTGAATGCCGCCTTGTCTACGTCTGACCGACTGACTTGCGTGAGGGAGCGATCGACGACCAGCTGCATGACGAGGGGCGTTGGGCCAGCAGCCTGAACAGCAATGTTCGACGCTTCAGCTTTCTTTTCCTTCGGTTTAGCCGGGGGGGCCGAGGAAGTCGCAGTCGCAGCGCTGCTCATTGCCGGGCTCAAGGGCATACGAGTCGGTGGAGTACAAGCTATGCGATGCACGTTCTTTCGGCCTCTCGAATGGAAATGTTGTGAAAGTTGGTGCTTTTGGAACGAGCAGATCGAGCTGGCCTTATAGCTCTTTGCATAGGTCTTTAGAGACATACGGCTGATTGATGCCTTTGCCCTCTCGTAGGAGCTCTTGTCCGACACTCTGTCCTTCCTTCAGAGCCCGTGTCCAAGCTCTTCTTACTGCGAGTGATCTTTGCAGGTGTCAGTCACGAGTTGGTGGTGCAAAGGGATGAACGAGACGGGACAATTTCGAGCGGAGGCGAGGCGCACTTCGATCAACGCGCGCTAGCTAGCCAACACGGTCGCGCCTTGAGAAAGCGAAGAGGAACGGGAAGACCGCTAGTCGCTGGTGTTGAGTGGGAGTCACGCGGCTGGCTGGCTGACGATAATGTTCGAGGCCCCTATTGATGCTGACATTCAATCTCGCAGACATGTCGCCCTTCTTGCACGGCCGCCTTTCTGTACTGACATCCTCATCGTCATGTTTGGAAACCTGACCGAGCACTCATCATGCTCGTGCACCCCTTAAATCACTCAGAATTGACAATGCAACCTCAGCCTAATGAAGCAATTGGGCTATACAAAAGAAAGGCGAAGCAAACTACAAGATAGAGGCGAAATGGGAGTATGGAGGATGCTATTGTCAGAAATTGTAGAGTGTCCTAGGCCATGGCAGCTTTACAGCGAATGGTTGGTGAAGCCTGCGATGATTGTAGAAAAGAAATGCGAGGATGGAGCCGCTATGTTTACTTGCGAGCGAGTTGACCGCGGACAGCGCCAGGGATGAACTTCTCAGTGTGAGTGTCGATGGCCCATCCTTCAGGGTTGGCCACGAGGTCAGCGAGCTTGAAGCCGTTACCAGTGTCCTGTCCCTGAGGGTTGAGGAGACCAGTGGTGAAGGGACCCTTGACGCAAGCCTGGCTCTTGCGCGTCTTCCATCCCCACCACACCTTTTGAGGGTTCTTGAAGGAGATGACGGGAGGTCCGGAAGTTCCGGCGGGAGAACGGTGGACGTGGGTGGAGGTCTTGGCTTGAGAAAAGTACTTGCCAGTCACTCCCTTCGTCTTGATGTGGTAGCAGAGAATCTCATTGTCGACGTCAAGGTCCAGGTTGAACCATGCTTTGGCACCCTTCTCTCCTGCAACGGGCTGCTGAGCGGGGGCAGGGGTGATGACGTTTCCATCGGTCGCGACTCCCTTGAGAGAGTGAGTGAAGCGCTTGGGTCTCTTGACGGGCACCTCGGATTTTTGCAGCTGACCTCGAATGGCTCCAGCAGGGAAGGCCACGGTGTGGGTGTCGGCAAAGAATCCCACGGGGTTGTTCTCAATTTGGGCAATGGTAAAGCCCGAAGCAGAGCCAGTGTCGACGCCCGGTTGACCAGCGACGGTCAGACCAGTGCTGAAGGGTCCTTGAGCGCAGCCTTTGCTGACGCGAACCTCCTTGCCCTCAACATCGGTGTACTTGAACTCTGGGTTGGGAAAGGCAAGACGAGGCGGACCTGCGCTTCCCGCAGCGGCTTGGTGGATGTGTGTCGCAGTGTTGGCAGGAGATTGGTACTCTCCGGTCACGCCGACAGTGGTAATGTCCCAGCAAATCTTGTCCTCCTTGGAGTTGAGCTTAAAGCCAAAGTGGCCGCGAGCTCCACTCTGTCCGGGAACCGAAGCGCCGTCGTTGTTGATGATGGTGGTGTCAATTGCCCGGGTGCTGACGGCAGAGGTGAAGCTGGAAGGCTCTTTGCAAGGCTTGCCGAGCTTGAGGATGTTCCAGTTCTCGCGCGCTTCGAGCTCGACCGGGTTAGCCATGGCCAAAGCTGGCAGGAGAGCGAGGAGGACGGAGGCCTTCATGTTTGCAGAGTTGTTCGAATGAGAAGGGGGTCAAGATGCGGGGAGGGTATACAAGAGAGAAGACGATGTCGATGGATGGGTCATTCATCACAAAACAGCTTTCCGACGCCGCCTTTTGTATGTGAGATGTGCTCTTTCTTGGTCCAGCTTGCCGCACCATGGTGCAACGTGTCAAAGTGAGCATCGATCGTCATTCTCGGCGCGGCATGGCCCATGCCGCTCTCACCGCCGGACGATACAATGATAGACAGAACTCTCATTGACAATGACGATGCCAAGCCTTGCGGGTTGCCAAGCATGTTGGCACATGCGGCAATCGCAAAGGAGGCACCTCAGTCAGATGAAGGTTTGCGTTGAGATGGCTCATAGACGAGTCCACGACGACGCAAACGGGCCCAGGGAGACCAGGGGGAAGAGGTACGATGGAAGGATCCCATCGGCAATGCGGGGCCGCAGCCAAGCCTCTCTATCGTCGGAGCGGATCCCTGCTTCACTAGCCGAGGTACATATGAATGTGCAATTACGAATAATGAGACCGTGGCTTGATTCACTGTGGGCCCAAAGTGGTGGAAGAGGAGCACTTATTGCCGACTCGCCGAGTGACCAGCCAAGGGGGAAAGGAGGTAGGCGATCATCGTACGATGCGCGCTAAGCCAGCGAGCCTGGGACCCGATGAAGCACCAGGGTGATCCGACGACAGCCAAGATCTCTTCTCTTGCCTTGCCCACTCCTCGCGTGCTCTGCTTCGGATGGGCAGCTCGTCGCTCCAAGCGCTACAGTAATAAGGTCATGCCAAGAGAGCGGACAAACCCTGCACCCTGTCGATCTGATACGAAGCACCGAAAGCGGTTCCTCGCCTCGCTATACAATCAAAGTGCTGCGTTCGTCTGCGAGCCGAGTGCCAGATTGCTCGCCAACGCCAGGACCTCTTCCCAGATGCCATCCGAGTCGGGTGTATCATTGCAACAATCGACCGTGTTCGCGCCAGACGCTCTCGCGAACATACTCCAAATGGCCCGTCGAGCCTTAGCATCAGTGCTTTCCAGCCGAGCCCACCATCGCTTGGCGGTACGCTTGCGGAGCGGTCTACCTAGGGCCCGAGACACCCATGACTTGTCTCGCAATACCAGGACTTTTTCTCAAGTCCAGGCGGCTCCTGGCCCGCGGTAGAAACGGTGTGTGGCTGTCTGACTCGTATGAGTCTGCGAGTCGAGTCGTGTGCCAGCTCAGCATGGACGGATGTTTTGGAGGGAGAGGAGGGAGCATGCAGGGTGTAGGGTTGCATCATCGCATGCATCTGAGCTTTGATCCCACGCGCCAAGGCAAAAACACAACTTGGCGGAACCGCGGGGTCATCACGCCGCGTCCACACGCGGTTCGCACGCGCCACACAACTCGTGACTGCTAGCTGCATGCATGCATGCTGATGAACGCTCCGGGAATAAGTCCCTTGCTCGCGCACACGCGATGCCCATATGTAGCTAGCTGCTTTCCGGCCCTACTTCACCCCGCCCATCCCGCCAAGCCTCAACGGGAACCAGCTCATGGGTGGGTAGTTGACTTGCCAAGCAGGCACGTTCCTAGCCATTCCTTGACTTGCCGCGCAATGCGAATGAGTGACGCTCAACGCCTTCGCCTTTTCGCGAAGCGCCCCAAGTGGTGAGTCTGCTGCTTGCGTCGCAACAATGCCGAATCTCCACGGAGTAAACACAAAATCAGGCCATTTTGGTCTGTCGCTCCCCTCTACACGCATCCTCGACTGGCCGCAAACAGACGCGTGGTGTCTGTAACAGGACCGTCGCTTCTACGAAAGGACCTCTGCCCGTGCTGAGGATAGAGTAGCGCTACTCCCAGTCATACCAGGGGCGCAGCGCCAAGAGCAACCCAGTAAAGCCCCCTTGTGCTCGGCCGAGTCTGCTAAGCCGGTCTTTCGGCGATAGGTAGGAAGCGATTCGCTGGAATTGTAGTGAGTGTCGACTGGGGATGCTATGTACAAATGGCCTGGCTAGGCACGCTTGTGATGTTAAGGAGCGCGTGGAGTGAGGTTGAGAATTAGGAGAACGGGAAAGTGCGACTCGTGGACAGGAACTTGGGCGAGAAGGGAGAAGCAGAACGTAGCTGAAATTGGCAGAGGGATTGCGAGCATTGCGAAGCAGTGTACAAATGAGCGCGAGGGTGCGAGTCGGAGCTTGAACAGTCGTAGGGGCACCTGTCGCTGGGTCGCCTCTATCATCGTGAGCGGTAGCTTTGAGAATCTTGCTGCGCATGATGTGCGGATGTCTGGACGTGTCCACCTTGATGATGATAGTAACCATCGTCGCCCTGTTGGTACCCTTGCTCCCACTGTCCGTGCTGATGACCGCCAAATTGGGCATGAGAGTATTGTTGCTGCTGACCTGGATCCTGCTGATAGGCGCCATGATCTGCTTGCTCTTGCTGCGCCATTTGATCGTAAGCATCCCATTGCGCGGCCTGAGCCTCGTCGTAGCCGGCATACTGGGCATCCTGCACCGCTGTGCTGCCTTCGTGCAGGTAGCCACCGTTCGAAGCTCCTACATCTCCGCGAGGGGTATCGAGACCGTCATGATACTGGTCCCACTCGCCCATCGCGGAAGGTTGCTGCGAACGATTGCCGTGAATACCTGTATTGAGTTGTCCGTTGTGCTGTTCTTCGTGGGTGTACATGTTGAGGACATCCGCCGGTCCATAAGAAGGGACTGGGCTCGGGCCGCGAGCCGATCGATCATCGTACGGAGCAAAAGCGCTCAAATCTGCAGGGCCATTACCGGCGGGTCCAAGGCCTGCTGAGTCGGGTGGGTAGTCGGCATAGTTTGCGTGCTGTCTGGCGCTATCAGACCTTGCGCTAGGACGACCGCCAAGACCCTGCCCATTGTAAGCTTCGGGGGGTGGATAAGCGGGCGATAAGGGCGAACGTCCGTGCGGTCCCGCATGCGAGTAGGCTGCATCTTCATGGCCGCCCTCTGCCAAGTGACCGCCATTGCCTCTGCCAGTCACGCGTTGTGCGTAGAAAGCAGGTGAAGTGCCGATCGGACCCATCGAAGCAAGTACATCTGCGGACGGACTTCCTGGCCGTTGATCCGAGCCCCGGCCTCTGAAATGCAATGGATGCGCGTCGGGACTCGTGTGCGCAGAAGGCGGCAATGATGGTGATCCATACCCTGGCGCGTAGCCTGGCGCCCCAGCATTCATCGCGAGATGCGCGTTCGAACCCACTTCGCCCTGATCGTAGAAGCCTTTTTCGCTCATGCCGTAAGGTATTTGAGATGAAGCGACACTTGCAGGGCGCCCATTGCCGATCATTCCGCGCGGAGACTTGGTGTCATCACCGAACAGATCGACGTCCACTTGTGGAAGCGTCGGCTGTTGCATCGCCTTGCCGATGATTTCTCCCTTCTTGTTCTTCAAATGGCTAAAGTCACCTTCTGCTTCTGCTCGCGCAATGGCGGCATGCCTTGCAAGCCTTTGCTTCTTCTTCTTCTGCACCAATTCTGCGATACGTTTGTCGATCTTGTGGCAACAGTACTCCTTCAGGTTGCCCTTGATGTAGCAGATGAGAGGCACGTACATGATAGCAGCGATGATCAGCATGATGGCGCTGGCAGCAAAGACCAAGACCGTGAAAATCATGGTAAGCAGTAGCACTGCAGTCCAAATGTTATTGTCGTAGTAGTCCGCCACGTTGCTAGACCAGTGCACTTTGTGGCCGACAGCAACCAGCGTTAGGGCGTTGATGACTTGTCTTGGGCCATCAGCGACGAGAAGACGTTTCCAGCCTGCCCGCGTTCGAGTCGCAAGTCAGCAAGATGTGTTTAAGCTACTTGATCAACGTAAGACCTACCTTTGAAAGTGAAGAAGATGAAGAAAGCGAACTCGTCCTTCTTCTTCTTGGAGTTGTTGATCTGACAAAAGAAGCAAAAGTGCTCGTACGACCTTAGACTGTAGTAGTTGTTGGCCATGACGTTGGTGTAGGCGTAGCTGATATCTCTGCTGCGAATGACTGCCCTAGCCTTGTGGGCTTCGTAGGCCAACAGCAAGAAACCAAAGAGAATGCATCCTAAGAACACCCATTTACCGTACACCAAAGGAACGCTCCAACTATCGTTGCCGCCATCTTGAGCGATCTGGTAGAGCGATCCGGCAAAATGATTCAGTGCAAGCAGCGTGATCGCAGTGTAGATATCGGCGATGTACACCGCGATTGACTTGGCTACCAGCAGGTACAGGATGCCGTACCTGTAACACAAGAACGCGTGTATCAGCATTGCCTCGGTCGGGTGAGTTCAAAGCGGGCACAGGGCTTCCCCCACACTCACCTCAATCGGGTCAAGAACCCATTCGTCCAGTAGTCACGGACGTCAATGAAGTCGAATTTGTGATCCGGCACCTCTTCTCTCTTCCATTCAGCGTTTCCGCAACACATATTGGCCAGCACTGTTCAGCACTTGGGAGAATGGCGCTTCTGTGGATGAGTACGCTGGTGAAAGCGTCGGCTGGGGCTAGGAGCGCAAGCGATGAGTTCTGCGCACTAGGGGCGTCTATCGGAGGGTGCGTGACCAGCACACACGCGGGTGAATGAGATCTCAATCGAGGCTAGGGGAGCCTGCCAGGTCGGTCGAGCTTTGCTGATCCAAGCCGAAAGTCAGATGATGCGCGTCGCAAGGTGGTGGATGGCGTAGTCGCACGTCTGATGGGGGGCAGTCAGATCGCTTTCCAAAATGAGCGACTCGTGGGGATGAAATGAGTGTGACGTAAAAGCCTTGGAACGACCAATGTCGAACGACGAGGATTGTCAGATCGGGAGTGAGGAGCTGGCGCGAAGGGCGCAATGACAAGGAGTGTGAAAGGGGAGAAAGGAGCTTCAATTAAGGTGGAGCGGGGAGCGGCGTCGATCGTGTTCGGGAGTGTGAGTGGTACAAGAGATCGACTGTACCGCCGCGACTTTGAGATCCGCACACTCCCTCCCGCCTGCTCGGTTGAGCGGGCGGCGTTCAGAATCAAGCCCATCATCCAGCAAGCGGTTAACTTGCTGCTGGTCGCGGTACAGTAAATAGCGCGGCCTGCGCGGGCAGGCATCTCATCAGTCAGCAGGGGACTGCTTTCAAAAAGCATGCATGCATGCATGCCCGTGGGATGCGGCATGGGGACGCTAATAAGGGGTCAAAGGTGTCTTCTGACCATACAGTACCTATCTCTGACGCAAATCAACTTCTCGATTTGTTATTGAGCCACAATCAAGAATTGCAGCCACTCGTCCTCACCATCAAGTCCTCGCATTCAAAAAGCCTTGGCCCCCATGCACCATCAAGCGATTTCAACCCCAAGCGCGCGGGCGGTCGAGCGACGGCTGGTTGCAGCTATTATTATATACAGTAGGCGTCATGCTCGCGTGCACCGATATGCCCACATCATCTGCCCCTCACGATTCCAAGTTCTGCAGCAATTAACTACTTGGCTTTCATTCGTGATTCGACGTCTTTCGTTGTCTGCTGAGCAGGCGCAGGTAGAAAGAGAGATACTCAAACTGTACATGCTCTTTGCCTTTTCGCAGTCTTCGTTTCGTCCAGCGCTACGCTCTAGCACGTCATCAAATTCTCCCTCCGCGAGATTCAGAGCCTGCAGTAAACGAGCGCTTGGCCGCCTCTCGTTTTCGCTGGCAAAGGATTGAGCAGCATGATGTCGCTGGTTGAGCTCGCTCAAACCAACCTCGTTTCCTCGATCTTCACTCGCGGCGGTCCAATTCCGCGTCGGCTGTACGAGACACGCTTTCCGGTGTATCAATTGCATCAATACTATGTGACATTCGCGAGTGCGTATAGCAAGCGCAATGGAGGCGTTCCAGGTCTGCGAAGCGTTTACACAGGAGAACCTGATCACTTCTTGGCATCCGCAGCCAATAAAAGCTTGACGCTTCTGAAGACCTGCTCCTTCGAAGCGAAGAGGATACCGGCAGTAGCGACGCTCTGGAGCAGCTTGGAAGCGATACCCCTATAGAGTCCAGCAATACCTTCTCTCTGGACAATCTCCGTCATGGCAGTCCAGACGTTTGAAGAGCCTTTGCCTCCGCTCTGTTGCCTGCTCTTGATGACGATTTGTGGATACGTCAGTCCTGTCGCAAAGAGCTTGGACAGGGCACCGAGAAGGAAAAAGTCCAAGTCTGAAAGGGTTACGCCGAGTCCACGCTGTGCCTCGGGAAGACGCGCAAGTCTGGACTTGACGAGCCAATTCTTCAGCTGCTCAAAAGCAGTGTACTGCATTCAGAGACCGTCAAGCGCCCAATCAGCTAGGCGTCACTTTGCAGCTGAGGTGGTGCGAAATGTCTCACCTGCAAGATTGGATTGATGACGAGCACCAGAGCTGGTCCCAGACCTCTCCAGAAAGCCGCGAGGCCGTCAGTCTTGAGGACGTGGTTGGCTGTCTGAATAAAGCCCATCTTCTTCACCGGCGCTTGTCCATTCTGCTTTTGCACAACGTGACCAGGAGCTTTCTTGGCCTCTTCCGAGTCCGTCCGCACGGTCTGACGTGTGTTGATCACCCAGATAGGGTTCGTCGCGATGGTTGTAGCGGAGCCTGCGAGAGAGCGTGCAAAGCATGAGAACGAACACTTGCCTTGTGACTACCAGAACAGTCCCCTCACCAGCAATGAAACCAGCGAGCATGCTTTCGAGGGTGGAGAGCGCGCCTCCAGCAGCAATGGCAGCTGCTGGATTCGATGTGTTCGCAGCGACCACTCGCTGCTTGGATACCAAAATAGCATCACGCGTCTTCTCGAAGAAGAAGCTATTGGTGGTCGTAGATTTTCAAATGAGCAGAGGCACCTCGGTCGCGTTGGTGTTCGACTCTCTATGCTCACTAGTAGATGAAGTTTGACACTCCGACACCAATCAGGGAAGAGTTCAAGCCGGAATACAGTCCAGTGATGCCCTCCCTGCAGCACGAGAAGCTTGCTGTCAGCCTGTACTTTGATCGACTGCAGCAGCAGCAGTGCCAATGTCTCACTTTTGGATGATTTTCGCAGCTGCAGTGACCATCGACTACGTCGGCGAAAGGACAGAGCGAATGATTTATCAGCTGCTCATGCTCCAGCACGATACACGCGGCGCCCCGTCCTGCCTCGCAATCGTCGCGATACTTGTGGCAAGCTGACCGCCCTTTGCGACGGCGGCCCTTCCTAACGTCTGCCTGCCTACTCGTCCATCTCCATCTTCGACGCCCGGCTCAGCCTCACGCACCTCCTCGGGATGCTTGCTGCTTTGCACAGCAGCTCTCATGCTGATGGACATGAGGGGGTAGGTAGCAGTCATGGCAATCACGCCACCTGCTCCGCCTGCGCAGGCGTGAATGAAAGAGTCGTCGGAAGACATGGTGTCGATTTTA